CTCATTAGCATAATTTTAACATGTAAAATAATTAGCTTCTAAGAAGAGCCAGAGATAACCTACTGTTAGCAGGTCAGTATGAAAAATACTGTGTGTCCTACTTTCAGCAGAGTCTTCAGTGGTTTATTGTAGTCCCTTTATCATTGGTGGCCAGGTTGTGTGTATGAAGACAGAGAAAATGGAGTAGAAGGAGTAAGGACCCAATTCATTCATGTCCTGGTGTTGAACTTGGCTCTGGGCCTGAGAGAGGAGGCAGTCTGGGAACTGCTGGTTAGTCTGCCAGCTCAAGTTAAGAGAGGCATCAGAAACTTTTCACCTGTTGCCACAAACTTTCTGACAGTGACTATTCAAGGGTCTACTTGCAAAATTTCAAAATGTTCCCATCAGTTCTAACACTTGTTCAGCTCCACTGGTGTCAAATGTTGGGAGCTCTGGCATAGAGGTATCATTGGTTTGCACTGCTATTTTAAGCATTGCATTATCTCACTTTTCTCAGAAAAGGTCTAGCTGTAGTTGACGTGATGGTTAAAACACTGGCACGTGCTTTGTCCCAGCACTGTGAATGCTGGTGACAAAGGATGAGGATTCTAGATACATTTGAAAGGCAGGTGGAGGGGATAATAGAGAGAGGAGGGGACCAGCATCAGTACTGTTGCAGTATCTAAAGGTCCGAATTAGGCACCTGGCTACATTATGCTAGGCACTCTGCACAAATATAACAAAAAGTCCCATGCCCCAAAGAGCTTACAGTCTTATCTAGGGAAAACCTCCTGTTTGTCATCCTTATATAAGCTCCATCTAAATACTGCTCAAAGAACAGCTGCTTTTCCTGAGTTTCCTGGGGAAATGACATGGGCACAGCTTATCATTATAGTGCAAGCCTGCAGTGCCCAGAAATTATGAGGGCATGGAAAGTAAAGTTCAGAACTGCCTGGAATTAATGCAAACTCTTTTCCTTATTAATGTGGGTGACCTAATAAAATACAAGCAAAAAATGAGATTGGACTCGTGCAGTAGCCACACATTTGAACACCACAGCCAATCTGCTCAGGTCGGGCCTGCTGTTAGACTAGTGGGAGGTTGAAACACCGTGGTAGTGCCTTTTGTGGGAGCCCTGTTTGTGGCATTGCTATAAATCAAGGCTGATTGGAAGAGCTGTGTTCATTGGGATGGGGAGAAGCCCAGGAATACTGTCTTGCTGCAGTAAATGTGAACATTTGCACAGCGGTTGCCTGCTCTAGTGAGTGCATGTGCTCACACACTCAGACCCAGGTACAAATGTAGCTGCCAGAATTTAATGGGCAAAGTATCTACAACAGATACCTATGAATTTTGCCTTAAATTTTGCTGACATAATGTAGCCATTAATTCTCCCCACCCCATCCACCTCCAATGTAGCTGGTACTGTTCATGACGAGATGTGATTGACTGATTTATGTTGGTCCCTAAGACAGAAAAACAGTGCCTTAAATTTTGCTGACATAATGTAGACTTACTGTAACTGTATGTTCCTTATTAACAACTTGGAGACAAATATATACCCTGTGTTGCTCTGCTTTGTGTCCTATCATTTGCAGTGGCACAAAGGAACAGGGGTCACCAAATTAAATTAACAGGTAGCAGGTTAAAAGCAAACAGGGAATTTTCTTCATGAAGCGCACAGTCAACCTGTGGAACTCCTTGCCAGAGGATATTGTGAAGACCAGGACTTTAACAGAGTTCAAAAAAGAACTAGATATAAATCCATCAATATTTATTAGCCAGAATGGGCAGGGACAGTGTCCCTAGCCTCTGTTTGTCAGGGGCTGGGAATGGATGACAGGAGAGGGATCATTTGAGGATTACCTGTTCTGTTCATTCCCTCTGGGGCATCTGACACTGGCCACTGTCGGAAGACAGGACACAAGGCTAGATGGACCTTTGGTCTGACCCAGTCTGGCCGTTCTTATGTAACGGGGGTGTAAAATGTTGCCCTTCTAATCTGGTAGCATTTTGCACTGGCACAAATGATTGCAAAAGGTACAAGTCACCAGAGAGCTGAGCACATAATCATCCAACTATATAGGGCTATGCTCATCCCTGGTGTAATGCTGGGGAAGTCTGTGGACTTTCACCTGGGGAGGGTCTGGCCCATTGTGTTTGAACAGCACTCAGCACAATAGCGTCTCAGTTCTGATTAAAGCCTTGAGTATTCTCATAATAGGTATGTTTGCTGCAACTGCTAAGCTACTTATTATATGCATTAAGATATTTTTAATACCGTCTAATCTGTTTGCATCCTTGGGGCCTAGTGCTTCTGTTTGTCTGTCTCCATCTCTAGATTCTGGTGTGTTTATCCATCCAACCTTCCCTTTTGTTCATACATTTTCTCTAGAGGCCTCTATCTCCACTGCTTCAAACCTAGTTCAGCTATTTTCACCTGTGCAAAGTGGATGTAAAATGTAACCAGATGTACATGCCAGTGTTTCGCACTCGCCCTGCACAGCTATAGATGTCAGTGCAAGGAACAGAGCAATAGTGGGATCAGGCACTGTCTTTCAGAAAGGTTCTGTCTCTAGGCTCAGATAAAAGGTGTCGGGTTTGTTTTTTAAAACGTGTGCCAACATGCTTGAAAATGCTAGTCTAGAAAGAGCAAATTGTATTTTAACATGGACTAGCTGACCAAACAACTTCCCTCCTAGTCTAGACAAACTCAGAGGCTGTGTCAGATTACAGCATAGGGGTCAAACCCTGGAAGAAAGCCCAGAACGAAGGCGGTGGGAAGTGGGGTTGGGGCATCTTTGTGTGGTGCTGGTAATTTAGCTGCTTGGTGTTACTGTGGGTGCACAGTACAGCTGTGCCCAGCAGATGGTGCCTCTGAGCCAGATGGAACCCATTGGAAATAAAGTCAGGAGAAAGAAAGAGAAATGTGACCGAGATGGGGCAGTTGGCAGAGGCAGGAAGCGGATAAAAAAATGAGAGAGAGAGAACAAAGAAATCGCGATCGAGAGAGACAAACTGTGGACACAGCTTCACTTTTCGGGCTGTGGAAAAAACTTACAGAGCAACTCCGTTGCTGGAATAGGAGGGAGGCGGCATTATTGCAAAGGGTTAGCAAAAGGAGCAAATAATCTTGTGGCTGCTGCCCATGCTGAAGGGAAGAGGGGATCCCCGTCAGCAAGATCGAGGAAGAAACTGCCTGCCGGAGATTGCAACATTTCCATAGCAAAGTGTGTTCCAAAGTTCTCTCTAGGATCTCCTGGGCTGTAGCTCTTGGTGGGGAGATCTCCCACCCAGGAAGGTTGCCCTAACTGTCACCCCTCCCGTGCATGCTTTGGGATTATAGGTCATTTTTGTTCAAACAACAAAACTAGCGGATTTCAAAGTGAAATTCCGGAGGAAATTTATAGAGCATCCGGATCCGGAGAAAGAGAAGAGGAAGGGAAAAATAAATAAAAACGTGGAGTGAATCTAACACGATCCAAGAAGAGACCAGGAAAAAAAAACCTGACACCGACTTGGAGATGGGGTGAGATTAGCAGTTTGGTGGTTGTGTTGTTTATTGTATTCATGATGTATAAAACGTGGTGTGTTTTTAATATAGCAGAGTCGAAGAGATCAGGATTTCCAATTGCAGTAAAGAAATTCAAGTTTACATATAAAAAAAGGCCCCTAACCTTTCGGGATTCAGGATGTAGATAGTTGCAGAGATTTGTAAATTACTTTGTGACCCAGGATGTGGCTGGAAGTCTCCAGGGGAATGCATATGTTGTATACAATTCAGAATGGCCCTTTGGGGTGACATAAAGGACCTACTGCCTTTGCAGATGTTTCCAGAAGTTAGAGATTTCTGATTTTGTTTTGCTCTTGTGACCTCAGTATTCAGTAAAATGGACCCAACTTACATTTCTAAGTGGGTAAATAGTATGACTGAAAAATCTCTGATCATAACCCATAAATTCTTTCGGGGTGAAATATATTCAATCAGGCACTGGCATAGAAATGGAAATTTAGCTTGATATTTGATTATGCACTGGTAATAACCCCAACTGTGTAATTTTAAGGATCTGGCATGCTGCTGTGAGTAAGTTGCTTGTGTAATGAACACTTCTGGGCTGCTAAGAAGCACGCTGGGGCTGGAGGAAGCCCCTGCCTGTTCAATTTCTCCAAGCCTTTGAGTTTGACATTAGAGGAGAAATAAGTAACAGTTTAGTGGTTTGTGTTTCTTTTGCTGGGTTTTTATTTCTCTCTTGGGCAGCCGGATAAAAAGACTGAACAGGGTAAAACCGATTCAGATGGCAGGAGGGACATAGATATGGATTCTGATCTCAGAGTCTCAGTGTGAACCTAGAGTAAATCTATTTAAGCCAGTGGCATTTATACTTGGCCAAGTTAGATCAGAAACAGTCCCCTGTTTCTTGCAACTGCTGTGGCTACACCCAGTGGCTATGCAATTTCTTTAGACGGGTGCCACTTCTCATGCATAATGTTGACGCTGCGGTCATTGTGAGGGTAGTTTTAGATTTTACTACAATGATAGCGTCAAGGCAGCAATGCTATAGTTCATGTGGAGATGACATTCCTCCCCGCCTGGTTTTCTGTCACAGAGAACTTCAGAGCTGGAAGGTCTTTGTCTTGTGCATAGATTTACATGGAAATGTTGAATAACCAGCAGCAGGTTTAGTCCCCTGGATTGCCAAGGGATTAGGAAAGCGGTAGCTTTGAAATGATTTTCCACCAGTCAGTTTTAGTTGATTTGTATTTTAAGCTAGCGGTCAGTCGTTCCCACCCCCCTCCCTTTTGACTCTGAACGCCGCATGTGGTCAGATTTCCTTGTAACCCTTGTCCCAGTAATATCCAGGGTGTAGCTTTCATGGATAATTCATTCCTGAGCTCTAACATATCCCTGGTGTGTGTAGGTTTTGAAGCATTGCCTTTTCACCTTTAAATAGCTATCTGTAAATGTCACTTGGGTCACAGGAGAAGTGAATTCATTTACCTCCTAGCTGTGCCCATACTGGGCATTTGGGTCCACATTTCAAACTAGCATCGGACAGGCTCCGGAAATGCTTAGTGTTGGCTGCTGGGCGTGTTTCGGGAGACCTGCCAGTGCTGTCCAGGAGCAATGCTGAAAACAGTGAAGTCAGAGCTAAAGTGCATTGGCAGAGCTGTGCAGGCTTCCATGTGTGTGCCCCTGTTGTACAACGACACATGAGCAGAAACGTGGTGGAGCCCAGTGGAGTGTTCACAGATGGTAAAGACTGGAGCAGCATTAGCAATAGGTGTCTGGTAGAAATGCTTAGCAATGCTGCTGGGCCTTTAAGTGCCCTGGTTCCCTTCCCCAGGCCTGAACTTGCATGCCTGGCGTTGTGTTCCTCAGGCTAATCCGACTGGGGCATAATCAGCCAGGATTCCTCCGGAGCCTTTTATCTACAAACAGGCTGGGAGAGAGTCACTTTCAACCTTCATGCTGAGCTTTGCTGGTTAATTTCACCACCACAGTGGGTGGGAGCTTTCTAGGAGGGACAGGCTGCGCTGCTCCATTCATCCACAGGGATGGGGCTGGGTTGCGGGGAGGAGGCAGGGAGGACTGCAAGTCCTGTGTCTCTGCACCCCATCCGGCCACTCAGCTCACCATTGCATTCCCACAAAGTGGTGGTGTGCAGGATGGCTCGGAAGTGAGCTACAGAGCTAAGAGAGCTTGTGAGCCGGAAGAGAAGAGGCAGTATCTCTTCTGGTTAAAGCAAAAGGCTGGAAGTCAGAACTCCCTGGATAGCACTCCCAGATCAGGAAGGGCATGTGGTCTAGTGGCTAGAGCAGCCAGGCCCTTAAAGACCCGCTGGCTGAGCCCTGCAGAGACAGAGCAAATTGGGTTGTTAGCAAGCTACACCCTGTTCACTCACTCCCATGACTAACCCAGGAGTAGCTTTTTGGGCTCTAGAGGAGAGTCACACCCAGCTCTGTCTGTCTAGAAGGATGGGTTATTCGTCTGGGAGCACTAGAGTGATAGAAAGGTGGGGAATGATCCAGTAGGCTGTCTCTTGCTCCGCCCAGGATCAGCTTTGTGGCATTGCCCCTTTGAAACTGGGCAATTTTCAGTTTAGAAAAGCTCCCTCGCTCCGCCCAGGATCAGCTTTGTGACATTGCCCCTTTTAAACTGGGCAATTTTCAGTTTAGAAAAGAGGAGACATATGATAGAGGTCTATAAAATCATGTGTGGTGTGGAGAGGGCAGATAAAGAAAAGTTATTTATTAGTTCCCTAAATAGAAGAACTAGAGGACACCAAATTAAATTAATGGGTAGCAGGTTTAAAACTAATAAAAGAAAGTTCTTCACACGGCGTGTAGTCAACCTGTGGAACTCCTTGCCAGAGGAGGCTGTGAAGGCTAGGACTATAACAGAGTTTAAAGAGAAGCTAGATAATTTCATGGAGGTTAGGTCCATAAAAGGCTATTAGCCAGGGGATAAAATGGTGTCCTTGGCCTCTGTCTGTCAGAGGCTGGAGAGGGATGGCAGGAGACAAATCGCTTGATCATTGTCTTCGGTCCACCCTCGTCAACTGCTTCGTGCAGCACTGCTGCTTTGAAATGTCGCTGCTGTGGTGTTTCAAAGGGGCAGCGCTGCGTGGAGCCTGGGATCAGCTGGGGACTCCCCAGTTGATCCCAGGCTCCAGCACTGCATTTGAAAGCATGCAGAGCCCGGGGTCAGCTGGGGAGTCCCCGGCTGATCCTGGGTTCCATGGCTTTAAAATGCACAAGAGCCCCCGTAGGGACTCTTGTACATTTCAAATCAGGCAGCCCACATGCAGCCTGGAATCAGCGGGACTTCCCGCTGGCTCCAGGCTGCACTCGGAGATCCACATTCCTCCTTTGAAATGTACAAGAGCCCCAGCAGGCACTCTTGTACATTTCAAAGGAGGAATGTGGAAGTGCCTATCGACTAGTTGAGTAGTCGATAGAAATTCAATTAACTACTTGACTAGTCAATTAACTGCAATTTAACATCCTTAGTCCCTACAGAATCATAAGTCTGTCTAAAAGAAGGTATACCCCAGTTGTCACTGAGCCCAGGGAAACCCTTATAAACTGTATTCTTTGTATTGATACTACAAAGAAATTCATGTTAGAGGGAATCTGAACCTGAGTTTAACCACTCCATGACTTTCTCAGCCAGGGGCTCTCCCTTTGGGCTCGTTCACTTTGGCATCCCGCAAAGCTCAGCGCTAGCGCCCTGCAGGGCACAATGCCAAGATGTGTTTCTTGCTGTGACCCTGCTCTCTGTGCTGTGAGAACCCCAGGCGGAACTCACTCAAGAAATTGGCAGCAGGAGCCAGCCAACCCCACAGCCCTTCCCTGCTCCCCACGCCGGAGGCTGCTGCACATGTTCTTTAATGGGCAGATAGGTGATTCTGCTGATCTGATCCTTTTGGCCTGGGGCAAGGGGTGTTGTGCTTTTGGTGGCTGAACGCTACACCACCGGTGGCACTAAACACAAAAGAGAAGTCACTCTGCTCCGGCAGGCAGTTCACCAGCTCGGCAGCATGGAGTCCTCACCTTGATCCACTCTAGGGACAGGCCCAGCTTGGGCAGTGAGGTCAAGTTCTGTCACTTTGATCCGTGAGGCTCAGCTCTGCTTGGCATGCCATGGCCAGAGGGGCAGCTTATTCTCCATGGCCGGCCTACCCACCCCTCTCTGATGCTGGCCAGTGAGGGGCCATTTACTGGGTGCATAGAGAACTCGGCTGAGCCCCCACCTCCTTAATTTCACACCGTCAGTTTCCAACGGCTGCCCTAGTAGTAAAATGCCCCATTCTGAATCCCATAGACTGGCCAATAACCTTGGCCCTGAAGTGCCCCAGAGCAGAAACCTCACTCCGAGACCTGCCGGAGCAAATCTTTCTTTTAAAAAATCCTAATTAACTGTTATATCTTGGGCAGAACCTCCCCTCCCTAGGGACATACTTCAGATGTGTAACAGGGGAAACTGAGCACCAGCTTCTGTTGAAGGAGCAGCCGTGTTAAGCCCCATCACAGAGCAAAGATTAAAACAAATGACTGGTATCTACTCATTCAGCACAGGGGCTGGGACGGGTGAACAGGACACGATAAGCAAGTCAATGAACCACAGGCTGACAGGCAGGATTGCTGGGCCTAAATTGATGGCAGTGAAGCACGAAAGAATCTTTCAAAGAAAAATCTCCTCTGGAGTGTGCAGCTGCCAGGAAAAGGATGGGGAGAAAGCTGGAAGGCAGAGAAATAGCAAGGAGAAAGCGTGAGCCAGCCACAGCTTTGTAGTGGATAGGAGAAACCTCCGCACCCTCCTCTTGTTCCCACCCACCCAAGAAACCCGTTGGATGCAACGGAGGATCTACAGTAACCAATTAGAACCTGCCTCCCTACTTCCACCCCACCCCCTGAGCCTTGGCAGGAGGCTGCATTTTGACACTTGCCCTTGTGATTCAGAATCCACAGCTGCGGGTGGAGTCAAAGAGAGAACTTGGAAATGTGAGGCAGGAATTTCCCAGATTGCTGCTGCCTGGGAGAACAGAGCAGTGACTGGAGAAACATCCTTCCCCCGAAGGCTTAGGCAGGGCTAGGACCCTGCGAAGCAGCTAGGAGTGTGTCAAAAGAGAGAACAGAGGAGGAAGCACTAGAGATGCTATACAGCACTATAAAAACCGCTCCAGAGAGAAATGCTCGTGAATGGGCTTTTGAAATTCCACCTCTTGATCTGACCTGCTTTATTTCTGACTATGGAAAATGTTTCTTTTGTAGGATTTTGCACCATCTTCTTGGGGGGAAGGGCTGGTCGTTGTTATTAATACTTAGGGAGTAAATTCTAATCCCAGCTCTGCCACTGACTCTTCTGTGTTTGGGCAAGTCCCTGCCGTTCCGTGCCTCAGTTTCCACACCCATGAAACAGCTGCAATAATGAGGATTAAGGGTGACCACTGCAGGCTGCTCTGATTAAAGGCATCTCGTGCCTTTCTGGCCTGCTGAAAGAGTGGCAAAGGCGTGTGTGTGTACGTGTGTGTACGTGTGTGTTATCTGCATCACACGATGGCTCTGAACCAGGAAAGGGCTCAAGAGCTGAGCTCCCCCAGGGTTGTGCCAGGTTTCTCCATTACAGCGTGAATGTTGCCTTGCTAGAACCTGGCAGGGCTGCACTGTAAAGCATGTGTTTAGATTTATATGAGTTGTGCTCACGCACACTTTCCTGGGGCATGCTCAGGAGGGTCATATGTCTAATGTTTCTCCATGGTGGGGGTAGAGGAGCAGGAAAGGAAATAGGGCCCCTGCAGATAAGGATTGGTGGGAGCATAAACTGCTTAAATCACATGGGGTCTGACTGGAATTTGATTTGATCCCTCTGCTCAGTAGGTGCATCCTATCCACCTTCCGTGCTGTCTCCTAAGGAGGAGCGGCTGCAACCTCTCTTTGTGGAGCCCTCCCTAAGGGACGGTTCTCTCTCTTTTCCAGCCTGTGGGGGTGTTTCATTTGCACACTCTGAATGGATGGGATCAGGGCTATTTTAAGATGCCCCTCAGAATGGGCCTGTAGGAGAAGCTGCCAAAGGAGCAAGGAGGCATCTGTCCTGGATAGACCAAGCACCCAGCTCTCCCCTATGGCTCAGTCATGCCACAATTATTAGAAGACGGATGGGCGCTGCCTTTTAACCCTCTCCAGGTTTTGCCTTTTCAGTAAATGCAACACTTGGTGAATGGTGCTGGATCAGTCCTAGAAATCAGTGTTGTCTCCGTATTCCAGAATGGCAGACATATCTGGACGTGCTTCCCTCACCGTACCCTGTCACCATATTCTGGTGTGACAGGGTTCACTGCTAGGGGCTGTAGGCAGTTCTGTGTCTTGTATCCTCCTCTCTATCTGCAAAAATGAGCTGTGGATATCTGCATCCACATCTGCGGACACCCACCAATATAAGTAGATATTCATGAATTTGCAGGGCTCTACCAGACGCCTGTCTCCTCCAACACCCGATAGTCACTCAGCCAGTGGATTTTCCTCCTGGAGGCCTCTTTTCAGTGCCAGATTTATGCACAAGTGAAATAAAATTAGGGCCTCAGATTATGAGGGGCCACTAAATATAAAAAAATGGCTAGTTTTTAGTTTCATCCTCGCCTGTGGACCAGTATATACGCAAATATAACACTTTGTTATTACCATTTCCATTGTCCTTTCTGTTAGAATAATACACCTTTTTTTTGGCAGTGCTATGGGGCCTCTTAAACTTGACATAGCTTAGGGCCTCAGCATGTCTCAGTCCAGCCTGGCATCTCCCTTGGGATAAGATCTCATTGCAAGAGAAGAAAACAACCCAAGTCTTAAGACAGCCCTGTTGCGGTCATTCTTGTATAAGGTGCCTTGATACCATGGTGATGGGCCCACTTGAAATGGCTACATTAGCTAGACCACCTCTTTGTTCCCTTTGAAACGGCTGCGTTCTGCCCAGTCGGGGGGCTGGATGGATTCCCTGCCGCCAGGATGGCAGAGCGCATTCCTCAGACAGCAGGTCGTCTTAAACTCAGAGTAGGACGTGTAATAAGGAGGCTCCGTTCTCCCCCCGGAGGCTGGGACTAAATCCCAGTGCAAAGGGGCCTGAACCCTTTCCAGCTGCTGTCACCAGGCACACCCTGAACGTCCAGCATTTACTGATGTGTGCAACACCCAGATATAAAAGGGAGGGCGGGGGAACAGGCAACGTGGCAATTCCAATCCTAGGCACTTTGGAGGCTATTTTTAAATGATTTGCCGTGTTCGTGGAAAGGCGAGAGCGATGGCATTAGCCAGAGGAGGGCAGAGTGCAGACAGGTGCTGGACAGTCATGCCCTGCAGCCCTAAGCTGCCCCCCATGCTATTCCTGTGCTAGGTTCTGAGGCGCCCTGCCAGTGTGTCTCAGCCCTCACCCACAGCCTCCACCTTGCTCTTTCTGTCTGGGGCCTCTCCTGAGCTGTGTTGGATTGGGGCAGGCCGGTGGTACTTAGGTGCAGAAAAAAATGACAGGAAGGGTTAGGTGGAGAAGGAGACCACAGAAATCACTGTTCTGTGGCCCATGGAGACTTTCCCCAAAGCTAGCATCTCTCATTGGCATGTTGTCAGTTCCTGTTCCTCTTTTGTCTTCTCTCCCTTTCAGTTTCCTGCGGAGTCTGCTTCCTTCCTCCTTTGCGTTCTGTCATGTGCTTCTCCTGGCTTCGTTCTGGCGCTCAGGCCCGGGAACGCTTTTGTTTCTCTGCTCCAGCTTTGGTTTTGTCAAACAAATAAGCAAAAGCCGAGAGGCCGGTCTCATCGGCCAGCCAGAGTCCTCCATTTCTATCCCCGCTTCTGTGCTGGGTGAAGGGAAGGCCCCCACCCCCAACCACTCCAGCCTGTGGCACAGGAAGTGCTGCTAATGAGAGAGATGTAAGAGCCATTTTGATAATTCTCCCAAACTGAGCACTCCTCGGTCTTGGGACGCTGCACTGTATTGGAGTATGAACTAGACAAGCTGGAGCCCAATCAGCCATTTTCCTAGAGCTCTCTCGGTGTGCCAGAAAGACGCCATGGTAGTTTGGGTTTTTAAGGGTAGGAAGCAGCATGCTGGCCTACTAACCTGGCTCCCATATTCCAGGAAGCAGGCTCCTTTTTAACAAGACTGCGGGAAGCTGGAGTGTGGGAGAGAGAAGATTCCAAATATGGCCAGTGTCGTGCAGTGCGCAAGTCAGTTTCAGTTTCTAGTGGGAGGAGAAAGATGGGGAAGGTCCTTGATATTCCAGCATGCAATGTGTGTAGCCCTTTCCCCTTCATTAGCACTTTTCAGCTGGTGTCTAAAAGTGCGTGAGTGACCAGAGCCTCCCCAGGAGATAGAACAGTGTATTAACCCCACGGCCACAGAATAGAATAGGGAATAGGACTTAGGAGTCCGGACATACAACCCTGTGCTTTAACCACGACATCCCCAATGCATCTGCTGTTCCCAGCTCTGGTGAGAAGAGCCAGGTGGTACGGTAGCTTCCTGGATTCTGCATGTTCAGTTCCCACTGCTTCTTGCAGGCTGCCTTGATGCAGGAATTGCCTCCTTTCAGCAGGCAAATGTGCACTGAGACACAATCCCTGCTATGCCGCAGGAGCAGCCAACTCATCACCTGGTCAAATGGGGCACAGCAGATGAGGCTTGGACCTGCGTTGCCTGTCACTCTCCTCATTAGTATGAAGTCTGGTAGCTCCAGGAAAGACCTTATGGTATCAGCTGGCACACGAATGGAGCTCAGACAATCGCCCCTCCGCAGCCTGGCCCCAGTGCATCTGAGCTGTAGGCAGAGTGCACACAGGACTGGAACAGAGTACTGGGTGAGGAGGCTGGGTTTAGAGCAGCCAGTGCACAGAAAAGGTGTGATATGGCCATTATCTGCCCCTACCGTTTTCTCCC